TAGTGAGAGGAAATGTTACATCTGCCTAAGTAAATGCCTACCAGCAGGGTAGCGTCATAGGATACAAGAATATTGAGACGCAGGTGATGGGATTCAGGAATCATAGCCCAAATAGGTTATACGACTGCTCTAGAGAATGAGCCACCAGATCATGGAGAATTAAGCTGAGCTGATGTCAGGAGTACGGCTGATAATGTGCCTTTCCACCATAGCCTATCAGAGGATGGATGAGATCGCTTCCTCCATGATACACCAATGTGCAAGTGTAAAAAGTGCTGCAAAACTGCAAGCCTGACAATAGCCTCAAACAGACGCGTTTGGCCCAATCAATTCTGGTTGTCGATCGAATCCGCAAATGAATGTAGACTAGGACCAACACAGTGGAAACGCACACACATACACACACTTGATACCCGAAGGCTTCGTTGTCCTGCCACCAACAATGCTATCACAATTGAGAATATGGACGAATAAGTCAAGCAAGTGTGCGTGAACATGTGGATGAACAATGCATGCGCCATAGAGGGACGACCACCGCACATGCACGTGTGGCAGTGGTGGACACACCGTACGACAGACTAGCCAGGTCAGCGCGAGTGAGCGACGAGCAGCGGTCCGGATGGACAAGGAAGAAGGCGCTGCACACATTTGTGGGCACGAGTGTCAAGTCATCCAAGCTCAGTTCAAGCGGCGGAGATAGAGACAGATACCTTAGCAGGAATCGCCTGATTTACCGCTTATGTTGCAAACGCCAGACACGGTGGCCGGTATACGCAAGTGCCAAAACCGATCGGTGAATAGGAAAGAGCAAGTACGCGAGTGTTCCTTAACAAAGAACACTGATCATCAGCATGCTCAAAAGCAACTGTGGAAAGAAACAAAGGTGTGAACGCGATGATAGCGGGCAAACTAACACCAAGGCTGAGGAGGGTAAATGCAGCCACCCAGGGGAAAGTACAACAGGCTCTGCAACATGGACTAGCGTTAGATCAACAGGAATTGTCCACATCACCTATGTATAGAATAGAGGGATTACTTAAGTTTTAGAACGACAAATGCAATCGTTGCCTTCCCAGATATTAAGTAGGCTCATGGATTTGGCTTTAGCAAATGGTGAAAACGATGCGGAGCAGTGGCATTGCGACATGGAGATCATGTGTCTTAAAGCATGAGTTTACTGGAAACACTCGTATGGCTAATAGGACAGGGGATAACATCAATAGCGGCAGATAGTGACTACACAGGATTCGGTGGCACAATTGTCTGTCTAGCGTAGTGGAAGTTAGAGAGTAACTGACGGGGTGAGATTCAAATTCATGCATTAAGACAATAAAAAAGGATTCCAAATTTGCCTGACCGAGTTCAAACATTGTAGCCAATACAGCACGAATTAAAGTGGCATCCATGGGTAGAATTTTGTACAAATATGGAAAGTGGATTTCAGAGGAGCAGTATTCTGGTAATGGTGCTACCCGAAAGAGATACGGGAAAGTGGGATGTACGATTGCGAATAGGATGACATTTTCTCCGTCATCCGTTTAGCTAACAAAGCCCTGTATCCGTCAAGTAGAAGCCTACGTGGGTAAGGGGATGAGGGTCGAAAGTCGATATTTATGTGATAGAATTCCTATAGCGGCAAAATACGATACAACATGTCAACGTTGTATACGCTTTATTTTCGAGCAGAAAGACTAGCGTGGCCTAAGTGAGTGAGAACTCCGAGTTAAAAGGCGGTGAGTAGCGGAGAGTGTGAAGGAGCCGAATAACTGATTGAATTCCATTAGTGGGAGTGGAAATCGCAGAATGAGTCTACGGTACCATCCATCACAGCAAAACGTCCTAGTAGGATTCAGTTAAACTGGCAGTGGCACTTCCCGTTCGGTCGTCTAAGCAAAATGAATGGTTTCTTAGTTGTATGCCGCCAGCGTTATTGATCCCTTTCCGGCCGACTTTCCGATTCATTGAAAAGCAGGACCGGAAGGAACAGGGTCAGAACAGAGGTATGCATGAGGTAACACAAGCAAGATCATGTAATGGATGAAATCCCCAAAATACTGATAGAATGGATTGCAAAGGAACACGTAGTTAATATCAGTTTGCTCGGCATTATCTGTCGAGAATTAACTTGAATGACAAATATATACACAAGCAATGAGATTTCCGGAGCGAATGCTTCCTTTTCACTCGAAAAAGCGAGAGAGACCAATGGAATGGTCAGATGTGGTGCTTCAATGGTAACGTAAATAAGGTCTTATTGCCGATCCCAAATATCCGGAGTGGCTAGTATGTCTATTTCGCCTTTAGTAATCATGACAGAAGGTGGTGATTCACAGTAACATCACAAGCAGGCCGCAAGTGCCAGCTTCGTCTTATGAAGAAGGCAAATACCACGCATGAAATCCTAAAGTCGGAATGTGTGACCAAGTAGACTAGCTTTGTGGAATGACGTAAGTACTCATTAAAACAGAACCCCCAATGGAGCGATGCTCATGGTACAGGTCGACGACCATCTAACTGACTGGTACCCCTCTACAAGTGGCGTGCCTCAAGGCACTGTGCTGGGACCCACTCTGTTCCTGATCCACATCAACGATCTACCGCAACTTCTCCGGTCGCCGTGTGCCTTGTTTGCGGACGACCTGAAGATTTGGAGAGAAATCGACGCTCCCGATGACTGTGGCCTACTTCAGCAAGATCTCAACCGCTTATCCACATGGTCTGCAGAAGTTGTTCTCCCGGTCAACCCAGCCAAGTCGGTATTTATGAGCCTGGAGAAGGGTGCAGACGGCCGAACCTACACCCTTGACGGCCAAACGTTATATCCCACACCCTCCGTGAAGGACCTAGGTGTACTCACACGCTACGATTTGAAGTCCGTGGACAACACAATCAGGCTATATCGGAACGGACTGCGCATGCTTTGGGCGCTCAAACGTAGCTTCTGCACATGGTCTGAAGAGGTTGCCACTCGCCTGTTCTCTTCTATCATTAGACCAATGCTAGAGTACGGTTCGCCCGCCTACTTTCCGATTACCCGAGGCGAGGCACAAAAGATCGAACGGCTCCAACACGTTGCTACCAGGCTCATCCCGAGTTTACGTGGCTTTGGGTATGAAGACCGGTGCGAGAAACTAGGACTCTACACCTTGTCCTACCGTCGGGTGCGAGTCGACCTCATTATGACCTACCGAATTCTACATCTCGGTGAGTTCCCCATGTTAAGGCCAATGCTGCACTTACGAGGGCCATGCAGCACACGCGGACACAGATACAAACTTGTTGTGCCGGATATGAAACGTGTTCCCCACCCACTGTGCTTCGAACGGAGAGTGGTAAACATTTGGAATAGTTTGCCCGAACATGTGATGGAGGCAACATCTGTGCAACAGTTCAAAACGTTGTTAGATTTGCATTTTGCCTCTATTCGATTCAGAGAACGACTGCACACTTACGATGACATCACATTTGTGAATCCTGAAATATCGTAAGTCGCATATTTTAAATATTACATGAGAACGACAATGATATTCAAGGTTGACAACTTTTATAACGTTTTTCGCCATATCTCGAAAGAGTTGTACAGAATCCATTTCTACTTGCTCTATAATACAGTATTCAGTATTCAGATGGGTGCGAGGTGTCATAAAACAACAGGGTCCGTCCTTTCCTGAATGTGCAGATCATTAATACGGTGTGTGTGTGTGTGTGAAAGGAAAATGCTCGAGTTACTGAATACATTACGCGTCAAAAGCAATGGAGGATAAGCTCAAAGTAATTTCATACTAGTAAAAATGCATCACCGATTCACACAAACTGCAGTTTGGTAACGAAGCGTTTTGGCATGCAGTTCGCCGAAGGCGATTCGCCACTCACATGGAAGCGGTACTGTGGCGAGCGCATCAAAGGACGATGGCCCAGCGAGCACCAGCGAACAATGTTCACCGTACTGTCGTGAGTACACGTGTGAAGAAGCAGAGAATAACCTTAGGGGGGAGGGGGTGATCCCAACAGCCTCCAGTGACGTCCGATGATTGAAAATACACGTTCAAATACGAAATGTAAGTCTCAGAGGAAAGATAGCTCGAGCCGTCATAGGTGGAAGCGACACATAAGTAACAAATCTGCCTAATCGCGGAGACCATGCCTCATTTTCGGTTGATAAAGAAGTAAATAAAATAAAAAATAGGTGTGTCAGCTGTACGCCGTAACGGCGCATCGATGCAATGCGACGGCCACCAGTAGAGCAAGTATGCCCGTCCCAACGCGGATTTGAACCGGTGACCTTATGGTTGCTAGCCAGGCGTGCAGACCACTCGGCCACCGGCCGAGCCCAATGTAACTAACTAAAACGAATTTGAGCTGTGGAAGAAGTGAAATTCAAATAGCTTGGGCGCACAAGTGTCGTTCTTTGGAAAAACCCCAAGAATGACGGGCTTGGATCCAACTATTCCCTGCTGGTCTTCGCATAATGCTGTAAGAAGTGGAGGAAGATGAAATTTCTCGTCGGCACTTACTTTGTTCAGCACACTATTAGAGTATGATAGAGTAGTTATGACGACAAATATAACAACAAAACGGATGGCAAGCATGTAGGGATAATTGAAACATGCTGCAGGAAGGTGGTAGAGGAGGACCACAAACGAAGTAAAAAAGAGACACGAATGTAACGGAGATTAAAGCAAGTGAGGCGAAACGCCCCTGGATGGGTTACTAGTGTGAAAAAAGCAGTAAAAATTGGTTGAGTCGACAGCCTACTGCCCATCACAACAACATAAGCTGATAAAGCCGAGGATAACCGATGGGCTCGATCTTTGAAAGCAATGGTGGCATGTAGAAAACACAATTAACACGATGAAATACACCGGGTTTATAGGCGACACATTGTCTACACAGGCAGTTTGTGCCCACAACGTGAAGGAGCATTGTCATATGAACAATAGCGCAGAACCGATGCAAATGAAAGAGCAGAGAAGTAACAAAGGTAGATAGACTGGACTCACCTCATCATTATGACACGAGTAAGAAAGGTTGCAAAATGCAGAGGGAAGGGTGAAAACCCACCAATGCCAACATAAAGCGTTGCACAACTCAACGATGTAGCTTGTGAAGGAATAAGTAATACCGGCTATACTAGCCGTGTATCAAGGTCATTCTGGGGATAATGATTGGGAAAGCAAGATGTGGACTGGCGAATCTCATGGGCAGTTTCCACGAAGGGCTATAAGGAAAAAACAATACGAAATTTCGGAAAGGGAAATGACAAGACTGTGACAAATGCATTGTGCATAAACAGAAGGAGCAAGACGTGAAACTCGTTAGTAGACAATGCAGCACATGCGAATATTCATGATCGATAGTGTGCACAGTGTAGAACCACAGGCGATTGTGAAAATGGATGATTTTAATTTTTCCATATGTTGTAAATGCCATTATATGCATCACCCCATGCCAGACATCGGAGTTAGCGAGTCTTCGTTGTTGTATGCAACAACCCAAATTTTGGCAACAGTTATTGATTAGAATAAACCAAGTAAGTTCAGGCGAATATCGTGTGCACACGTGCGCGCACGCGCGCGCGCAGGAGAGCAAGTCCGAAGCATGGAGATTTCTCGTCATACAAACGATAAAGAGAACCAAACGGACATGCAGTCGCACTGACACAGATAGGGAGGCGGACAGGCACCCACCCGGAGAAAGACCCAAAGGATCCGAACAACACAAGTGCAGTGTGAGGTGAGGAGTGAAACTGAGGTCCACACGACTAAAAGCGACTAATTGTCATTATGTGTGCGTGAGTGTGCTGCAGCGCTGACCGTACACATTAAACAAATGCTGGAAACAACGTACAACCACTCAGAAGTGATATTCAGCTGCACCCAAGCAAGGCGATTAAGGAGGGAAACGTCAGTAAAATAGACGCTTAAATTGATGAACATTCAAAAAGTCTAACTACAAGCAAACGGCGAAATAGCGCAACGTCGAACGTCACCTGAGCACGACAAAGTGCCGCGACCTTATTTCCCAGGTTCAGTGGTACATGATAGCTGTCATCTAGGATATATTTGACAAAATAACCCTACCAGACACATAAAAGAAGCTTCGCTGCTGAATGAACAAATACTCAACCAACCAGAAGATTGCCGGTGTGTGATAAGATCATGATACAAAGCAATCAAGACCCAAAACAGCATGCTCGTCATCCCCCGATATATTCGGCAAGACGCATAGTAAATGTTATGATCACAAGATACACCTGTTGTAGTACAGGTAAGAATTTACGGTGTGATGCAGGAGAACCGATCATGTGATACACACAGCGGGACGACCCATTTAGTTACTGTTAAAAAGTATGCGAACGACGGAGACAACAACAATCGCCGGAGGAATACCAAACCTGGCGAAAATGCAAGCATCAGGTAAGAGGAATAAGTGAGATAGGTAGGGGTCGGCAGGACCGATACGTCTATGGGGCACAGTAGAGGTCTGAGTTGAGGACCTGCAAGATAAAACTAACAACAGTGGAAGAATGACACAAAACAAGAGAAGACTTGAAAGAGCTGAACAGGGCATTAGTAGTGACTGATTGTATCTATGTATGCATGCAGATCTGGCAAAAGCACTTTGACTGTCTCTTGAACAACTGTTCAGAGATCGACTGGCCTACATTGAACGGCCTCAAGCAGAACGATGTGAAGGCGAGTCTGCCGGACACGCCGACAATGGGTAAGACGCAGAGAGCACTTGCTCACCTGCGAAACGGCAAGTGTGCTGGTGCCGACAGATCCGCATGAAGTATTGAAACACGGCGAACCCACGTTGCTCACTGCGTTGCACCACTTGGTGCAACGCGTGTGGATTGAGGAGATGCCACCTGAGCTGAAGGATGACCTTGTGCTACCACTGTGCAAGTGCAAAATGAGCAAGTAAGGTTACAGGAATTATCGAGGCATCAACTTGCTGAGTTGTGTGGGCAAGGTGATTGCCCGAATGCTGCTCAACCGCCTCGTCAGTCAGGTTGTGGAACCTAACATGACGGAAGAGCAGTGTGGATTCCGTTCGCGTCGCAGCCCTATAGATATAGTGTTTGCGGCCCGTCAGTTGCAGAAGTGCGGAGAACGACACCAGCCGTTGTACTCGCTTTTTGTTGGTCTCACCAAGGCATTTGATACGGTGAACCGCGAGGCATTGTGGCTGCTGTTGGGAAGGTTTGGTTGCCCACGTTGTAGTTAACTTCGATAACAATTTCGCGTTTGTGACATTTTCTTAAAATATATTTTACGACTTGTTGAACTCAACGCGGATTTGCTGGCAACCAATTTATTTCATATGCGGGTTTATCGAAGAGTTATGTCACTGTATCTGTATACATTATTCGATTTATTTTAGTTGACATCATCGTTTCAAGTGATTGGATATTGTTTGACATCCTCGATGTGGCTGCGGTTGCTGTGAATGTTCACAAGGTGCTTACCTGTCTATTACCCACCACCTCGTCTATACTGGCTGCAGGACACAGTTGGTCGATACTGGGGGCAACGGGGTGCACGGTCCTTGTGGCCGTGTCAGGATCAATGCGACGTCGAACGTCATTACTGCTAACTCAATGTTGCTACCAAACACGAGCAATGTTCTTTAAGCAACCGTTATTAAAGGCAGAAAGATGACGCATGTGTTCCAAGCGAATCGGCCAAGACTCGCTCCCCTACAAAAAAACTGAGCGAACAGATGCGCTGTAAACACAGACCTTTAGCGAAAATGAGATGTCGCGACGACACCACAAGTGCCTCAGATTGGCATAAGCTGATCGGGCTTTAGCGATGCGAACAGAAACTTCTTTGCTGATAGTGCCGTCAGCAGAAACACAGCTCCTAAGGTAGATGAAACTATCTAACTGTTCAAGCTGTGCCCCCTCGAGAGGGGGCAAGGGAGCAGGTGTAAGCCAATCCCTGAGCAACACTTGACACTTCGATGGGGCGAAGCTCATGCCATAGTTAGATGCTTCAACCACCAAACGATACAGAACAAATTGCATACCCTGAGGGTCGTCACCAAGTAATGCGATATCATCAGCATAATCTAGGTCGGTCGCGCGCTCACCCGGTAAAAGCTCTAGGCCAAAATCTTGGAAACCCATTAGAGCACTCGACAGAACGTATTTGATGGCGAAGTTGAAGAGGAATATGGACATAGGGCAGCCCTGTCGCACACCGCTATTGACAGCGAATTGCGAGGAAAGCTTGTCATAGACCCTCACTCTGCCGGATATATGAAGGTAAAGTGCTCGTAAGATGGCGGTATATTTCTCCGGCACCCCATTCTTTAGCAAGCAATGCCATAAAGCAGGTCGATCAACGGAGTCAAAAGCGGCATGTATGTCTAGGAATGCAACGATAGTGGGACTGTGATAAAGGTGGCGATGTTCGAGGAGTTGGCGGAGCGTGAAGATTTGGTCCACACATCCGCGGCCGGGACGGAAACCAGCTTGTTCTTCACGGTAGGATGATTCATGTACTGGGGATAGTCCACGGAGCAGAATGGATGCCAATAGCTTAGAGGCAACCAAAATCATACTAATCTCACGGTGATTTACACATGAAGCGCAAGTGCCTTTCTTGAAAATAGGGACAATAACTGATTCACCCCAAGAGGAAGGAACTTTCTCTTTATGCCAGATTTTTGCGAACAGCAACGTCAACTGGTTAATGATCGCGGCGCCGACGTACTTGAACAGCTCCGGAGGAAGTCCGTCTGAGCTGGCAGCCTTGAACCGCTTCAAGCGTCGAATCACGAAACAGACTTCCGCTTCGCTGAGTGGATTCAGTGGAGCCAGCCAGGGCGGACAACAAGCTGTACTGCACGTACTGATGGATAGTGGAGACCAGTTGAACTGCGAGTGAACGCGCTCGGCACAGCGGTCCAAATTCCTCTGTTGGTTGGTGATCGGAGATACATTCCTCCCGCAAATAACCTCACTGACACCAGGCTTCCTGAGGCCAGTGGACCGAATGAGTTGGAAAAGATTGCGAGTGTTGCCAGAGAGAGCAGCGGACTACATCTCTAAAGCACGCTCAGACCACCCTACCTCGCGATCCTTGCGTAGGCTTTGCTTGAGCAACCGGTTGGCAGAACGGCGTCGCTCGTTGGAATCTGATTCCGCCTGGATATCATTGCAGCGTTCAAACAGCTCCAGAGAACGAGCAGAGATCCAAACCTTTCAGAGGCGTGGAGGTAGGCCGCAGCTTGACTGTCCGGAAATGGTCAACGCTTTCCGTATACAAGTCCAGTGTTGCTCCACGTCATGCCATGGATTACAATTGAGTGCGTATGCCAGTGAAGACTGATAGCTCGCCTGAACAGAGGAATCAGTTAATCTGTGGACATCAATGTTGCGGTGCTTCGTGTTTCGGGACCCCCCCCCCCAAAAAACACACAGATTTTCGCGCAGACCGGAGCATGATCTGAGTCAACGAACATGGACCAGAAAAACCTGCAGTCCAGTACGCTGCCACGCCATCTGAAGCTAATTGCAATGTGATTAATTTGAGATCACAGTTGTGTTGGCGAAGGGGACGACAAGTGGCGGAACGCTTCTTCGTACGTCTGAAGTTAGTGCTCGAGAGAAACAGATGATTGTCTTCGCACAATGTGAGAAGCCTCTCTCCGTTATGAAAGCGGTTCTCATCGAGTGCGTGGTGATCACCAAGGTGGCGTTTGTATGGTAACATGCAGCCAAGCAGTGCATTAAAATCCCCAGCAAGGACAACAACATCAGACTTTTAGCATTAGTTAAGAGCTGATGTAGATCCCGGTAGAATTCGTCATTGACCGAGCCGCCACTGCAATCAGTTGGAGCGTACACGGAGATCACAAACAAGTTGCGTCTCTCTTCGCGGCGCCTCTTGATTCTACATGAAGCCTGAAACCGAACTACACACAGTTGGCTGTTAATCGGGAACCAGTCCAGTAGTGCCGCCTCGGCCTTGCCACTTAGTGCAATACCTACACCAGCCAAATCCGGTGAATCTGCTTATGGAACTCCAGAAAGACGCAAGTGATATATGGCTTCGTGGTCAGTGGGGGAGGTCAATGTAAGCACAGTGCTGGGATCTTGCAATCGGATTTCTGAAAGGCAGCAAACATCAATATCGAGGGAATATAGGGTGCGCCCTAGACCGGCTTGCTGTCCAATCTACATAAGTGTCCGAACGATGAAGCACG